AGTAGTATATATATATATATATATATATATATATATATATATATATATATATATACACGTACATCCATACACGCACGAAGATTAATTATTATAAACCCCTGCCTTTTGCCTACAGTCATCAATTTATACTCCTCTCCTATGCGGATCCCGATTCCAAACCCGATCCTCGCGCACGGGGATCCTAAAGCCTCATCCTCTCTAATTTATGCATGTCGAATCAATCTCTACCTCTTCTTTCTCCCTCCCCCCTGCCTTTTCCCTACCTCCTCGCCTCCTTTTCAACCACCTTCGATCTCCTTCCACGTTCGTTCCCTCGACGCAGCTGAACCCGTTCCCTCGACCCTCCTCGACGCCGACCCCGATAATGAGGGGCCCGCGTTATCCTGTGCAAATATTTTCCTCGGCGACTGTTTGCACAGGCGCGGCGCGGATACGCGAGGATCGAAGGATGAATTATAATGGGCGAGGAGTTCGGTTTAATCAGTTCATTCGTGATCATCAAACTGAGGAGACTCGGTTCCCTTTTCTCCTTTTTTTCTTTTTTTTTTTTTTTTTGTTAGTTGTAGTATACACGGGAAGGATTGGTATCTTTGGGCAAACAGAGATCGGGGGATATCTGTTCTGAAGTGCGAGTAATATTTATCGGCGGTAAAGTTGTACAGTTGTGAAGAGGAAATTTCTCGAAATGGAGTTCCCTTCGAAAGAGAAGGAGATTCGTGATTAATTGATCGGTTCATTCGTGATCATCATCGAAGTGATAAATTTGTTATTCCCTTTTTGAGGTTGGTACGAAGGTATTTCTTCCAAAGTATGAAGTTTTCGAGACAAAGAGAATTTTTTAAAAAATTGTAGTTTCCTCTAAAAGAGGAGGAGAATTAATTAACCGTTCGTGATCATCGAAGTGATAGATTTATTCCCTGAGATTGGTACATTAAGGGGATTAATGCAAACAAAGATGGAGAAATATTTCTTCCAAAGTGTGAAATTTCTAAGACAAAGAGAATTTCTTAAAATACAGTTTCCTCCAAAAGAGAAGGAGATTCGTGATTAATCGATCGGTTCATTCGTGATCATCAAATTAGAGACTTATTCCCTTTTTAGTTGCATATATAGAAAGGATTCTTCGGACAAACGAAGATAAAGAAGATGAGAAATATTTTTTTAAAGTGTAAATTAATATAAAATCGAACAGCTTAATTATAAAAAGGAATTTCAGTTTCTTCAAAAGAAAAGGAGATTCGTAATTAATTAATCGGTTCATTCGTGATCATCAAACTACAGACATATTCCCTTTTTAATAGTTGATACATAGAAAGATTCTGGACAAAGAGATGCAGAAGATTTCTAAGACAAATTTTCTTAAAATGCAGTTTTCTCCAAAAGAGAATTGAGAAAGAAAGAGAATTGATTGGTTCACTCGTGATCATCAAACTAGAGACATATTCCCTTTTTAATATTTGGTACATAAGAAGGATTCTGGACAAAGAGATGCAGAAGATTTCTAAGACAAATTTTCTTAAAATGCAGTTTCCTCGAAAAGAGAAGGAGAATTGATTGGTTCACTCGTGATCATCAAACTAGAGACATATTCCCTTTTTAATAGTTGATACATAGGAAGGATTCTGGACAAAGAGATGCAGAAGATTTCTAAGACAAATTTTCTTAAAATGCAGTTTCCTCGAAAAGAGAAGGAGATTCTTAGGAAAGAATTTTCCTTCTTCCCTATTAAATTCTGTATCGGTCGATCCGCGAAGCATCGCTTTGCCATCATTGTCCGCGTATACGAGACAGAAAGTCATAGTAAGAAGGCATCGTCCTGTTGCACGATCGTCAGAATGCATTATCCGCGCGCTGTTCCATCAACTGCACCTACCTCAACGCGCAAATATTGCAGGTAGGTGGAACGCACCGTGACGAGATAAAGAGGGACACGCCACGGAGAAACGCGTTTAATATTCCGTGGGAGTGTTGTCCACGCGACCCGGCAGAGAACCACCCTGTTGCTCCCTCGCGCGCATTTCAATAAAGCCGCCTCCGCCCGGGATACAAAACACGCTCCTCCAACTTCAGTTTCCTTCTGCCGGAGCTGTTCCTCCTTCTTCATTCCCATATTTTTAACCGAGTTTAACCGAAGTTAAGAGAGCTTTTCCTCTTGGAAAAGCTATTATATCGAGAGAAAATCGAGGAGGAGTTTTGTTATTGAGTTTCGATTGGAAAGAAAAGAAAAAGCTGTTGGAGAGGATGAAGTTGGATTTTAATTAGAACAGTCGAGCGATGAGATATCGGAATGGGATGAGATGCGATCGTTAATTCTTAAGTACGTTTATCTCGAAAGGGTATTAAATGCGATGAGATTTGTGGTTGTGGACGTGTGTGACGTGTTATGGCGGAAAAGAAAAAAATGTACTTTGTGGAAGAGAGGTGGGAGAAGAATAATCGTTTACCGTTATATTGAAATTGCACGTCAAACGATTATTAAAAGATCATCTTATCATAAACAATCGTTAAATCTTCGACTAAACGGCAGATCGAAATGTCACAGTTCAAAAACATCGTAAAGAAGTTTATCGCATGGATAATTGAATTTCAATATTGTTTGTGGTAGCAGTTTTTAGAATGTCAAAGACTGCCTCGAGCCGGTAGAAAAATCGTGGGTGATTACGAATTATCATAGGAAAGCCAGTATCTAAGAAAATACGCGTAAACAACACGTTTCACGATTCAGAAAGGAAATTATCGACCCATTATCATCGTTTAACTTAATCGATTAAGATTATCCGTCGTAATCGCGTACATAAAACCGTGTAAATTTCTCGAGCGTTTCGTTCGAGCGTCTGATTTGATATAATAAAAAAAAAAAAAAAAAAGAGTTTCCTCTCCTTCTTCATCTCGTGTATATTTTCCAATACAATTATGAATCGATGGAGTTACACACACGGTGGAAAAGATTGTAATGGTAATCGAAATCTTTT